CTCCCTGTGTGCGTGGCTGCTTGCTGGCTCGCTGCGCTTGGTGTTCGCGCAGGTGACTCGCGGTGACTTTGTTGGGGTTTGGCAGGGGTCAGGCGGCGGGCCCACTTCGGGGGGAGGGGGAGGGGCCAGGCAGCGAGGTCGCGGCTACTGTGGGCAGGGGTGAACGGGGACACCTGCTCGCTCCCCATCCCATCGCGCAACGGTGCTCGGTTGACCCCTGCCGGGACCTGGGTGACCTGGTGATGACGAGCAAGAGCACAGACCTTCCAGTTAAACACGCCTGGGTTCGAATGCTGGCTGCCACTTAGCGAAACTTTGGACAAGTCTTGTAATCTCGCTAAGCGTCAGTCTGAACCTTAAAGTTGGGTTACTAGTCTCTAGAGCTAAGGCAGCTTTCCTGAGTATAAAATATAACAATATAAAATAGAGGGTATGAAAAACAAGGGAGTGGCCTAAAATGGAGACGTGAAGTCTTATACTTGACCCAGACAGCCGTGACTCTATAAACTGTCTGGGAGCCAGAGCACAAAAAGAATTCCCAGAGTTCGGTGGGGCACAGCACCCAGATGAAGACAAAGCATTTGTGCAGGGAAAGCTCACCTGTTCCTGGGACTGGAACCAGACTGACATGCATAGTGGTGATGGATTTGGAGCTGTGATCTGTCCACATCATTCAGTCCCCAGTAAGACAAATCTACAAATCTGCAGACTCAGAGCCCATGTCGGTGTTCCACCACCTTGGCCTTTAATCTGCACCATGGACTGATTTCTTCCCACACAACACACTACACTTACATCTCGTTCCCTTTTCTTGGCCTGTCCTTCCCTCGTGGAAAAATCTGTCCCTGTCTCTTTCCTGGCTAAATGCAAGTCTGGTAGCTCCACCTTCCCTGCCTCTCAAGGATCAAATGACAACTTTTGTTAGTGAACCAGCCTACAAATCCCTCTGACATGGCTTTTGCCACATTTTTATTACAACTGAAACGATCTGTTTGGATTGGTCTTTTCTGCTGGACCATAGGCTTCTCTGAGGGTAGAGAGTCATGTCTTATTTATCTTTGTGGTTCCAGCCCCACTGCACAGTGCTTGGTACAGAAGGTGAAGTTCGAAGGCTGCTGAGACAGGCACGTAATAGAGAAAGACACTGTGAGGACAGGTGCGTGGACAGTGCAGAAGCAAAAAGAGGACTTAACTAACCCCCCCAGTGTTGAAGGCAGCAGTTGCTCAAGCAGTCGTGGCTGGATGTAATGGTACATGCAGAGGCTGGGAGGAGCCCGACTCTTAGGGTTGACTGACCCTCAGGGTGCCTTTGGAAGGGAGAGATCTGAGTTGAGGCGGGAAGACGGCAGGCATATGGTGAAGGGTGCATTGTGCCCCACTGTGGAATGTGGATGTTCTCTGCCTGGGTCACAGGGAGTGAACATTAAATGAGATTTGCTGAAGGAATATTTGAGACCTTTCCTCTCAGTCAGCCAGGCTGGCTGACCCAATAAACATGATGGTGAGGGAATAGGAAGAGTGGAGGCTGGCTCTGAGGTTTCCAGCTAGAGCTGGAGAAGGAATGGAGCAAGTGATTTGGAGGAATTTATTTCCAAAGTGAGGCTGAGATGTCTGCTACCTGGTGGAGCTGTCCAGGTAGCAGTTTGTAGGGATGGTCTTTAAACCCACCTAGGCTCCTCTGAGTTTCCCTTAGTCAGAGGTGAACCCCAGTGGAAGTAAGATGGATGTTGATGGAAATGTGTCAGGTTTATTTCTACTAGTCCTGCAAACGGTGCCTTCTCTGAAATCTGTGGGAGGTGATTTATGTTGCATATAATTGTCAAGTGTAGATGTTGAAGAAAAACAATAAACAAACAATGTTGGCTGTTGTGGGTACTTATCACAAGTGCTTGTCCATACTCTTATCTTTTTTTTTTTTTTTAATGGCTGAGATCCTGTAGGAGGGAGGCAGTAAGACCTTCCAGGAAGCCATTCTGGGAGACCTGGTGTGAGATACCTAACCGTTCTCAGTTTCTTTATCTGTAAAATGGGCTTCTTATTAGCTCTAAAGGAGATGGCATCTGTGAAGTGCTTGGGGCAGTATTATAGCCTGACATAATGAGAAACCAGTAAAGAGCCCGGAAGTGAAGGCATGAGAGGGGAGGAGTCAGATCAAGTACTTTGGGGCTACACCACTGCCAGACTGTCAAACTCGCAGGTCATTGCCATCCTGATCCTACCAGAGAGCCCGAAACAGCACTTACCGAGTCTGTGCCAGGCAGTGTTCTGAGCCCCTTATGTTATCTCATTGATGCCTCACATCAGTCCTGTAAGCTTAGTACTGTTGTTTGTGCCCATTTTACAGATGAGGAAACTGAGAAATAAAAAGGTTAAATAACTTGCTGAAGGCCAGACAGCTAGTAAGAAAGCTAGTGCCAGGGTACTTGTTTCCAGGGTCTGAGTGCTCATCAGCTGCACCTTCCTGCCTCCTGCTGAGCCTGCCACAGCCTCCCATTTAGACCGGCATGTGGTCTCCAGGTGGAGCCCCTTTAATCTCATTCAGTCACCGCGTGCCCACCTCCTATAGTCACATTGCAGTGCTGCTGAGGGGACTGTGCTGGGACCTAGTGGGCCACTTGCATAGCTACCTACGGACATGCCCTCACCAGCCTCTTCCTCTCCCTTGGGCGCCATGTACATGGCAGCCTCCCCTTTCTCTCACCCAGTTCTCAGCAATAATTCCACTTCCCTACCACTTCTTGATACGCACACAGTGGCCTCTGTCAGATCCTCCCACCTCAGATTTCTTTTCTGTTACCACTGGTAACTCATGTCTTCTCGCTCTATCTCTTTAGTCCTTTCTGCTGCTTCACTTTTATTTGTGCCTTGGAAACGTCTCCTGGTCCTTGTTGATAAGTAGGCCTGGTGATGTTCCCAGAGCAGAAGTCTCCCTAACCCATGCTGTTGTCACAAGGGAAGGGAGACCATAAGTTTAGGCAAAAAAGAACAAGTGCTCTAAACTCTGAAAGTCCCCAGACATACTCTTTAGAATATTCATCTAATCTCTTTAGCCTGCTAGTTAAACCTGATTTCAATACCTGAATTTTTTTGCAAGACAAACATTTCTTACACATGGTGTATACTGACGTGGTTCATTTGGCAGTGTTTCTTACTATGATTTTTCATAAACCATTGTGACTCTCAGGGGCCTCAACCCCAACAAAAAAACCCAGTTTCTATGGGGAAATGCCCTAAGAACTCCAAACTTCAGGCTCGAAATCAACTTTAGAAGGTGAACAAACCAGTTCAGGCTGGGGACTTCACAGTGAGCAGAAGTGCCAGACAGCGGTCTCGTTATCTCCTCTTGTGCGTGGTGCCTTCCACAGCGCTCAGTCCGCTGACTGTGACTCGGCGCCCCTTGCACATTCAGTGAAGGAATCTAGGCAAGACCCTAATACCTAGTTGAATACCCAGGGGGCTAAGAGCAGAGAGATTTGAGGTATTACTCCATTGCGGCAAAGATTTAGTTGGTGGCAACAAGGCAAGCCCACTTGGAAGGGAAGTAGATCAGAATGTAATGGCTATCGGGCGCCCTCATCCTCTGTGGGTTGGTAGCTGGCTTCGTTTGTCCTGGCCAGAGTCAGGGTAATGACTGCTGGGGCCAGATTAGACCCTTCCGGTGGATGGTTCTCCGTGTGAGTTGCTCGTTTAGTCTGACGGCTCTTTGCATGGGTGATTTTGATTCAGGTATTAAAGGTGGCAGTGCCTTAGAGAGGCAGCAGGCTGCTCGAGATGCCATGACAAGCCTTGGGCTCTCCTGCAGACCCTCAATGATTTTAGTGGCAGTTTCACTGAGCAGGACAAATGTCCAAAGCCTGAGGGCTGATTAGAGGCGAGAAGGGGCCACTCGTGGCTCAGTGGGGAAGGAAGTCCATTTTTATGCTGTTGAACTGCTCGGGCTTCAGACACTACCCAGCATTAGGCTTCGGTGCATTCTAAAGGCCAGTTAGAATCAGATGAGGTGGGTTCGCTAAATCCCTGAAAGCTCTGTAAAAGATTGTCTATAGGCCAGTGCCTTTATTTCGAGGCATTTTGGGCTCAACAGTGATGCTTCCCTCCTGCCCTCGCTCTAGGTTCCAGGTGGAGTGACGCAACTGTGCCGCCAGTATAGCGACGCACCCCCTTTGACACTAGAGGGAATCAAGGACCGTGTTCTTTACGTCTTGAAACTTTATGACAAGATTGACCCAGAAAAGGTAATTGATGTGGCTTAAATGTTTTTTCTTTAAATGAGTATTTAATCATATGGTACAAAATCAGTAAACAATCACCCCTGGTCCCAGGCTCCCATTTCCCCTTCTGGGAGGTGCCAGCGGACCTGGCTTTGTATCTTTCCAGAGATTCTCAGTGTATGTATATTATATGTACTGTGACCTGTATCTCCCACCACCCCCATCCCTTTTTTAATGGAGGGACTGGGGATTGAACCCAGGACCTCGTGCATGCTAAGCACATGCTCTAGCGCGGAGCTATACCCCCTCCCCCCAATCTCCCACGGTTTTTAAGAAACACGAGTGGTAGCATACTGTAAACACTGTTCTGCTTTAACTTCACTCTTGGAGTTTTTCTCACAGTGGTACCTTAAAAAACTCCTTTAATACCTGAATCTGTGGTGTTGGTAGGTTAGATTCTGATGTGGTTTTTGGAAAATTCTTCCTGGTGATCTGGAGGTCTGAATTAAAGCCAGAGTGATAACAGACACTGTGCGCTATTCTTGGGGGAGGGTATGTCACTTCTGAGGTGTGGTATCCTAGCTGTCGGTCAGGCAGCAAGAAGAGCCGCACAGACTCTCAGATGTCATTCAGAACAGTGATCAAAGGTCTTTGTGAAATATATGGTGAATCCATCATTAGCTTTATGTATATTGTTAACCAGTTCAAAATCAGGTTGAATAAGTTAACACAGAAGCACCCCACAATATATCCTGGCACAGGTTAAATGTATGTTAGTTATGGCTCTTTATGTTTAAAATATGGCTTCTTTAGGCTCCTGGGTTGGCTCTCCCCAATTCCAGCTGACCTTCACTCAAATAAACTCTTCAAATTAAAAAAATTAAATAAATAAAATAAAATAAAATATGGCTTCTTTATATTTAAAAAAGATCTTCTATATAATTATTAAGTGATAGTGTACCATTCAGTTATTTTGAGAAGCAAATGCTCTCATGGACTGAATTTTCTTTAATGTTCTTTCCTTGCAGCTCTCGGTAAATTCCCATTTTATGAAAGACCTGGGCTTAGACAGTTTGGACCAAGTGGAGATTATCATGGCCATGGAGGACGAATTTGGTAACACACACAGGCAGAGGCTTGGATATGCATATTGTGGTTCTTGATTTAAATGCAAAGAAATGCTGGGAGTCTGAATTGGGGTTTGAAATAGTAGTGACCCCCCACACACACACCTGCTTACCATCAGGTGAAGTGAGTATTAGGCACAGGGCACTTACTCGGAAAGCGCTTACTGCGGGTCTGGCAGAACACCCGGTGTGGCACCTGGGCTGAGTGACCAGGAAAGGCCTAGGAGGGTGTGGACTGAGGTTCTCAGGGTGGGGCTCTGAGATGACGGGCAGAGCCTCACCTGTGGCGAAGCTGAAGACACCTTGGTGCCCCCATGAGCTAGGCCCAAATGTCGGCGCTGGAGAAGTGCTGGGCGTGCCGAGGGCAGGATGCGCGCCTGCACACACTTGTACACACACCCTGGTTCCCTGCAGCGTCTCCCGTGCACGCTCCTAGTTACCCTTGTCTGGGACGGTTAGTTGTGTAAGTGAGACCTTTATAAGGTCCCACGGCTCATTCTGGGGATGAATTGCCTAAGTGGAAGCCAAGGGACTTCTGTTCCATCCTACAGAGCAGAATTTAGTTAAAATTCCTCGGGGACCCTGCTAACAAGAGGGAGGGTGTCGATTAGGGGTAGGATGGGTACAGGGTTTCTTTTTGGGGTAGTGAAAATGCTTTAGAATTAGATCACGATGATGGTTGCACAACCTTGTCAATATACTAAAAACCACTGAATTTTGCACTTTAAATGGGGGGAATTTTCTATTATGTGAATTATATCTAAAAAATACATTGTCGGGAACATGCTCACGACTTAAATGAGGGTCAAGATTGCTGGAAATTTTTGCTGTGCTTGTAGGTGTTGCCAAAGTGTTAGATGCTTTCAGTTCTAAAGGATTTGCTTTTTCTACACTCACACATTGTCATAAATTTTATTTTTAGGGTTTGAAATTCCTGATATAGATGCGGAGAAGTTAATGTGCCCACAAGAAATTGTAGATTACATTGCAGATAAGAAAGATGTATACGAATAAAATAACAGGTAAATAATTTGACTTATGCAATTATGTTCTCCCATAGAATTTATCTGTCTTTGATAAAGAAAGTCTTGGGGAGAAATTGAAAAATGGAAGTACCTGACAGATTTTCACTGGTTATAAGATGCAGGCACCTTCTGGGTATCTGCCACTCCACGGGGGCCAGCCCTAGTGATCACCTTTCTCCTCCAGAGCTGTTGACAGCAGTTCATTCCTGGACAGGACTCTTGTCAGCCCTCCTTGCACAAAAACTGAGCAGGGTAACCCAGACGCAGAGACCTCTGCCTCCCCAAGTTACCCACCCAAGGCCTGCCCCACCTGCTGTCCAGGAGGCTGAGATGGCCTGGCCCTTAATTAGGCAGGAGAGGCCTCATGGGTAAGAAGATGGACTCCGGCACCAGACACCTGAGTTGATTCTCGGCTCTGCCACGTTCTGCAAGCCTGGTGATCTTGGGCAGGCTGCTGAGCCTCTGTAAGCCTCAGTTTCCTCGTGTGTAAAATGGGGATGAGAGGACAAGCCTGGGGCTTTTGTGAAGGTAAAATTGAATAGTGTGTGAGAGTCACTCAGTTCAGTGCTTGATGTAGTGGAGCTGTTCCCTAGGTGGCAGAGTAAGTAGGTGGTCAGACTTTTAAGATAAAACGTTGTATTAGTGTCTGTAACTCTAGTTACCCTGGACTTAGCACCTCAGAGATCATCAGTTAAAGGCAGTAACAGTGGAGAGAAACACTGAACTTGTCTTGTCTTTGCCAGAGCCCTTTTCATTCCTGAGAGAAGACTCGGAAGATGCTGGCAAGCGTCTGCAAGTGAGAACGCATTTGTGCAGCACTGCTGACTTGGACAGAGGGGTTCTGTTCAGACTTGTATTTAAGTTGTCTTAAGTGTTTTTGCCCTTTGAAAATAAATCTATAAAACCAACAGTTCTGCCGTCTTGTTTTTTAAATTATGTCTGTAAAGTGCTTTTATATTGACATTGCTTAGTATTTTTAAAGATTTGTCTGATTTGCCATTGGTATCATGCATATCAAAAATGTAACTTTTTCAGCAGGGTACTTGAAATAAGTTTGTCTCCCATTACCTTCAGTATGAGGAATGAATGTATTAGTGATAAAAGGGCTTTTTGCCTCAAAAAATTTTGTGCCTGCATTGGTTTATTGATTATCCCATGTATGAGCTGACACCAGTGTGTGAGACTAATTTCCCATTCCTGTCCTAAGGATCTCTTTCTAAAGTAATGGAATTTAATAATTTTGGAGACTACAAGGTTCTCTTTTCTCCTGGAAGGTCACTGTGACATTGTGCCCGTTTGTCATACATCAGTGACATGCATCAGTGAGTGCTACCTCTGCCCCTCTCACTCCCAGCACCGCGTCAGCTCTCTGGAGCTGATGTAGGCAGCTGCCTCACCCTTGTTGAGATTTAATTTGAGAGACCTACCATAAAACAGTTGCCCTACTTTTACTGAGAGTTCTAGTCTGTGGGAGAGAGGAGACCAAGGTCTTGTCAGTAAGTACAAAGTAGCATCTTAAAGGCGGAGGGGCGGCTGAGTGACCCTCAGCTGGCAGAGGACCTCATGGCTGAGGGATGAGGGGGCAGGACTCACAGTCAGGTCTGGGACTCAGCCGCACTGCGCTGCTTCCCCTCCCTGCAGGGACCCAGTGATCCTTCCGTGTGGCACTAGAATTGCAGACGTAGTAGGCAGCGTACTTCCCTCCTTTTTCAGTGATAAGCAATCCCTGTTACACTGCACCTTCTATTTTTTGTAATACTTAGCAAGACATTCTTGGAAAACCGCCAAACTGGAGCCTAAGGAGCTGCCTCATTCTTTCTCACAACTACATTTTGTTCAACAAATAGTCTGAGTGCTTATTGGGCACTAGAGATCCAATAGGAAACAAAACGGTCTGCATGTGGCTCCTTTGACTGGAATGTACCATAATTTAAACACCTGGGGTAAGTGGTCTTCTGACTACTTTAACCCCCATGGCAGCTACACATTTTGCCAGAAACCACATCTGTGTTTGTTGCTGCCTAAGATCATGAAATCTAGCAGTCCTGCCACTAAAGTGATTGCTAACATCTTCACACACCTGCAGTGAAATGGCCCATTCACATCATTCAGCAGCTGCTTTAAGTCCCAGAGGAGCCACAATGAAGGAAAAAGATTTACTGAATCACACACACAATTCGTTGATAATGCTTTTTGGGATCTGGGTGTTCAAACAAACAATAGCAAAGGCCTTTCTGCTCTAAAAACTTGCTGGAATGTTCTCTGAGAGCCCTGTGTGCCACTATAAGTAAGGAGCATTCCAAAGTGTGTGAATTAGAATAAACAGGATTCAGTGCATGTAGCATTTAATGGCCTCCCATAAGTGCCTCCGAGGATCTGTGTCTGCTGTAGGCAGGTCCCTTTGTGGGAGGGTGGCTGGGAGGCCTGTGGGACCCGCTTCCGGCCCCATCTCCAACTCAGCCACATCACTCTCTGCACCCTGCCTCCCAGACAGCCAGGGCACTCATTCTCCCAGTGCAACGATGACGTGCCACCACGTGTGGGACGCTCTCCCAGGTGGGGCCTCGAGACACAAAGATAAACGGTGTCCCTGCTGGCAGGAAGCTCCCAACCGGGAAGGGAGATGGTTAAAATTCACGTGACGCTTCCCACGCAGCATCACCGAAAACAGCCAGCACTGTGCTGCTCCTGACGGATGAATGAGCAGCACATGCCACCTCTGAGGTGTTCCTGCTAGAATTGTTTAACCTGAATCTGATCAGGAGGGAACAAATCCAGAGGTGGGACTTCAACAAATCAATGACATGGGACAAAAAGGACAAGGTACGAATCAAAGGAGACCAGAGACATGTCAACTTCATGGGAAATGTGAAACTTGAAAGGACTGGGGAAGAAAACAAAGATTTTGAGGACCACTGGACTGTATACAGGTGATAAGACAATGTTAAATTTCTTAGATATAATAACAGTGTTATGCAGTGGTTAAACTAACCTTATTCTCGGAGATGCTTAACACTTAGGCAAGCATCAAGGTGTCTGCAGCTGACTTTCAGATGGTTCAGAGAAAAAAGAGAAACAGTAGCAAAATATAACAACTGGTGACCAGTATATATCCCTGTTCGTGTTATTCTTTCAACTATTCTGTTAGAAATTCGTCAAAATAAAAAGAAAATTCAACATGATACATATTAACCAAAAGTATATTGATGGCATACAATTGGATATCCAACAACATGGGACTGGTTAAATTGAAACAATTTTACACAATGCAAGATTGGTGTTTAAAGCGAAAATAGATTATAAACAGTATGATTCCATTTCTATAAAACACATACAAAAATATTAACGATTACCACCACATGGTAGAAGTATATTGGCTTATTTCTGTTAATCGTATTTTTGAAATTATAAATACCACATATGGTACAGTAAATGAAAAAAAGTACTAAAAGTCTGGGAAGACTGGGAGTAGTTCAGCAGACGCTGAGAAGCTGACTCTTAGGCAAGGCGAGCCCAGGCCAGGAAGCCTGAGCGGAGGAGCCCGAGGCTGCTGGGGTCAGCCCCGCGGCAGGCACGGGAGATGGGCTCCAGCAGGAGGGCACAAACGGGAGGCGGGACCTCAGTCTGGGCTACGGCTAGAGTGCGAGCTCACAGGTGGGGTGGCCTGTGGTTAAAGCTATGGCTGGGATCAGATCACAGAAAGCACCTACCGTCTGGTGAGGAACTTGTCAGCAGTAGGAGCGACAGGATTTTCTGCAGGACCGACAGATACACTTGAGCTCAATGGCCGGCGGCCATGCAAAGAGTAAACTGAAGGGGATGAGCCTGGTGGTTATGAGAAGAACCCAAGAGAAAGGTGCAGGCTTGGAGGCTGGGATAGAGACGGGTGGTACTGGGTCAGATGACGGAGGATCTCCCAAGTTTAGGGCTTGGGCTGCTGGTGCTGGGTGAGCTGCTGTCTGAAGGAGGGAGCGGGGAGGATCAGACTCAAGAGGGATGTAATTTCAGTTTGAGACATGCTGGGTTTGTTTGTGGGATACCCAAGCAGATGACAGATAATGAGCAAGAACGCAAGAAAAATACCAGGCTGGAAACCTGGGGCTGCAGTGGATTTGCAAGGTGCTTCCCCCGGGCTGGCTCCCTCCTGCTGCTGAGTTCCCATTGCAGATTCCCCTTTCCTCTGGTAAGGGATGTAAGGGGGAATAAGGACCCTCTGCTCGTGGGATGGCCTCTTACTGCTTAAGCCTAAAGTGACTCCTACTTCCTGCAGGGATGGAACAGGGCTGGGGTGGGAAAGCTAGGAGAGCTGAGACCTACCCACCACTTGAAATTACTCTATCAAGTGCATGCGTTACTGTCAATTTTTAAAAAATGGTAGCCAAGTAAGAAATGTCAAGGTTCAAAGTTTTTTGTTTGTTTTGTTTTTTAATGGGGGAGGTAATTAACTTTACTTATTTTTCTCATGGAGGTACTGGGAACGAACCCAGGACTTCATGTATGCTAGGCATGGAGTCTACCACTGAGGTATACCCTCCCCCCAAAGTTTTAAAGACAACTCACAAACACTAGTTAGTTCCCTTAAGACATAGCTAAACCAGGGAAAGAAAAGAAGAGAAAGTACGAAAGCAAAACAAAAACAGTAGCTGAGTTCTCTCCTAAATTCTCACTAAGGCGAGCATCTAAGAGCACACAGACTGGCGTCAGGCTCACCCGGGTTCTGAATCGCAGCCCCGGTCGCTGACAGGCATAGGACCTTGGCTAAGACTTCTCCAAGCGTAAGTTTCCTCTGATGGGTAAGGTGGGGCTGACGAGAGGGCCGTGGTGGAGTGGTGACGATGTAATGCCCACACAGCTTCTGACCCAGCGCCAGGCCAGGGAAAGACTCAATGAAGGGGCTGAGGTGACAGGACTCGCCAGCAGAGCATTTAGAGCAAGCCCCTCACAGAGAGAGCACCCTGAAGAGACACCCCCTCTTCACCTGAGGCTGGAGCCCTAGACAAGGTCCTTTCCAAGTGATTCACCTGGCACCCAGCAAGAGGTTCAAATCCTGCGGGGTGGTCTGCCAGAGCTGCTGCTTCTCAGAGTCTGGAGCATTCATCTGACAGCCCCAGACTCGAGGAAGGGAAGCCAAACTAACGTTTCAGATGCTAAGGTGGTCACGCTCGTGCATCTGCGGAGGGCAGGGTAAGAAGACAGTAAGAGCCCTGTGCGGCATTCTTATTCTGGAACTCCCGGAAGAAAACCATTCTCTTTCCACTGGGGTTGCTCGTCTGATGGAAGCTAAGTCAACAGAGAACAAAGCAGAGGCAGGAGTCGGAGGGGAAGGCACCTGACGTGACCTGAGCGCCCGCAGCAGCCGAGGTCTGTCTGACATTCTGGATTTTCTCGTTACATGAGCCAAATCCTTTTGTGTAAGTCACGTGGGTTTATCTCCTCGAGTCTGAGAACCCCCGACACGGAACAAGACAAGACTCATAGCGGGAAGGGAAGGTAAGAGTAGGGGTCATAATGAAAATTAAGACTAAAAGCATGTGGGAGATTACTTTTCTTGACGGTGAGAGAGAAAAGCCAACACTAGCAACAACAGAAAAGTTAAAAGGGCACTTAAAAAATACAAGGCTTACAAGAAGGATTACTGATTGGAAAGAATAGTTCCAGAAGATATTTTGGTCTGTATATTAGATGGTATTACTGAATTGATATTAATTTTCTTAAGTGAGGTAACAGTGTTGCACTAAGGTATAAATGGCCTTATTCTTCAGAGATGCTGCTTAAATACCCAGAGGTGGAATGTCATGATGTCTGTGTGCCTGTCAAATGCTTCAGCAAATTAAAGTGTCATGTGTACTGAGAGAAAGCAAATGGAGTGAATATTTTAATAATCAGTGAGTCCAAGGGAAAGCATGAGGT